TGGAAATGAAAGCTTGTAATGTGGGTAAACCAAAGAAAAGGCAAATAGGCTCAAAGGGGTTATCAAAGGAAAGAGTAATTTCATGGTAAGCTATTTGGCTAAAGTGGTAACAAAAATTGCCTTAATCATATTCATGTATACATGTATCAATGTGATCTTGAAAAGAAGCAACGCAAGTTTTAGAGAATCATAATCATGGAATAATGTCACACCAGAAAGAAATGATGAGACTGTAATAAATGTCAGTCTATCGGCTCAAAGTCTCACCAGCTTTTGTGTTCACCCTATTCAGTTACTACATCTTCAATGAAAATAACAAACTAGCTAATTCAACATATCTCACAGTACAAGGTAAAGTGAAAGAGAATAAGACATAAGTTGATATACTATTTCAGGTAACTCACAAATTAAGTTCTTACCAATTCAAAAATTTTCCAACAAACAGCTATTTCCACATCTAAATGATAATTAATCATGACTATGTTCAATGTAACTCAAGATCTCACATAGAATAAGCAATTTTCGAATCGAAAATTTTTACACATAACAGCATATTTGGCAAGCATGCATAGCTTATGAATCAAGAACAATTTCAACATCACGCATTTCAAAGCCGACAAGGCTCACCTAACATGTCGATATAACACACAAAAAATATGTAAAAACACAAAAAGAAAGCCGACAAGGCTCTAACATCTAGCAAAGCAATAGCCGGCAAAGCTCATCACCCCCAAACTTAATTCACACATTGTCCTCAATGTGTAAATAACAAGCTAGAGTAAAGTGGAATAAGGAAACCTCCCTGAATAGCCATTCATAAAGTGGAACCAATGCATTTGCTGGACTTATGATGAACGTGAGTCACTTGGATCAAAGACTTCTTTGCACATGAATTGTTCCAGAACCTGGGAGATCCAGAAATGGCTGGGATATCAAAAATTTCCTACAAAATAAATATATTAGTTCAACAATTTAATAACCAAAAGCATTAAAAGTAAATAAACAAAACAAGAGTTAAAACAGTTGGGCTGCCTCCCAACAAGCGCTTGGTTATAGTCCTTAGCTCGACTATAGGGCATCTTTATTTCGGATCTTTGAAAGGAATGGAAGATTTTTCATTAGCAAAATCACCTCCCAAATATGGTTTCAATCTGTGACCATTTACTTTGAAATTAGCCTTTCCTTCATCAAGAAGCTCAACCGCTCCATGTGGAAAATTTTTTACGATGGTGAAAGGAGCCGACCATCTAGAGCGGAGTTTTCCAGGGAATAACTGGAGTCGAGAATTGTACAGAAGAACTTGTTGCCCGACAAAAAAGTCCCGCCTCACAATGTGTTGATCATACCATCTCTTTGTCTTTTCTTTATAGAGACGTGCACTCTCATATGCATCAAGGCGGATTTCGTCAAGTTCATTCAGTTGGAGCAATCTCTTCTCACCGGCCAATTTTTCATCAAAATTCAAGGCTTTGATAGCCCAATAGGCCCGATGTTCGAGTTCGACTGGTATGATAGCTCGGGGAGTGCCATAGCGCGAGAAAATATTTTTCTTCAGAAAATTTACTACCACCCGAGCATCATTAGTAGGTAAAGCTACCGCTTCTACCCACTTTGACACGTAGTCTACAACCACCAATATGTATTGATTTGAAAATGAGGACGGAAATGGCCCCATAAAATCAATACCCCAAACATCAAATATCTCCACCTCCAATAAGGAATTCAATGGCATTTCATTACATTTGGAAATTTTACCAGTCCGTTGGCATCGATCACACTTAGAGACAAGTGTATAAGCATCCTTAAATAAGGTGGGCCAATAAAAACTAGATTGAAGGACCTTTGATTCAGTTTTTACAGCACCAAAGTGACCACCATATTGAGAAGAATGACACCGTTCAAGTATTTTCTCCATTTCCTCCTCCGGCACACATCTCCGGATAATTTGATTTAGACCCCGTTTGAATAACAAAGGATCTTCCCAGAAGTAATGCGTCACATCAGTGAAGAACCTCTTCCTTTGTTGATAAGAAAGATCTGGGGGTATGATGCCACTAACAAGATAGTTCACATGGTCTGCATACCATGGTGTATGATTGGCTTGTAAAATTTGCATGATTTGCAACAGCTGTTCATCAGGAAACACCTCATTGATTTCACCTTCCAAAACGTCTTTGGGTTGCTTGAGACGAGATAAATGATCAGCAAAGACATTTTCAGTTGCCTTTTTATCTCAAATCTCGAGGTCGAACTCCTGCAAAAGGAGTACCCATCTGATCAACCTCGGCTTGGCATCTTTCTTTGCCAACAAATATTTGATGGCCGAGTGGTCAGTGTAGACAATTACTTTGGAACCAATGAGGTATGATCAAAATTTATCAAATGGAAATACTACTGCTAGCATCTCCTTTTCAGTAGTAGCATAATTCAATTGTGCATCGGTCAAAGTTCGACTGGCCTAATAGATAACATGCAGGACTTTATCTCTCCTCTGCCCCAGAACTGCTCCAACAGCATAATCACTAGCATCGCACATCAACTCGAATGAAAGATTCCAATCTGGAGCTGCAATAATATGAGCCATGATAAGCTTTTCCTTCAGTACATTGAAAGCATTAAGGCATTCTTGAGAGAAATTAAAGGCTGTGTTCTTTTCAAGCAAGGAACAAAGAGGTTTTGTGATTTTTGAAAAGTCTTTAATAAACCTCCTGTAAAAGCCAGCATGTCCGAGAAAACTTCGAATTCCCTTTACTGTAGTTGGTGGAGGCAATTTTTCAATTACTTGAATTTTTGCCTTATCAACCTCTATGCCTTTCAAAGAAATTCGATGGCCAAGAACTATGCCTTTTTTGACCATGAAATGACACTTTTCCCAATTTAGAACCAAATTGGTCTCTTTACATCGTCTAAGTACCATCTCTAAATTATTAAGGCATCTATTAAATGAGGCACCGAAAACTGAAAAATCATCCATAAAAATCTCAATACTTTTCTCCACCATGTCGGAGAAAATCGCCATCATGCACCTTTGGAACGTAGCAGGTGCATTGCACAGGCCAAAGGGCATTCTCCTGTACGCAAAAGTACCATACAGGCATGTAAATGTTGTTTTCTCTTGATCTTCCGGAGCTATTGGAATTTGATTATAGCCCGAATACCCATCAAGAAAATAATAATGTAAATACCCTGCCAACCGCTCTAGCATTTGATCTATGAAAGGAAGAGGGAAGTGATCCTTTCTAGTTGCAGTATTTAACTTGCGGTAGTTAATACACACTCGCCAACCAGTCACCGGTCTAGTGGGTATGAGTTCATTGTCCTCATTTTTCACTACCGTTATGCCTCCTTTCTTAGGTACAACTTGAACAAGACTTACCCATGGACTATCAGAAATGGGATAGATAATGACTGCATCCAGTAATTTAACAACTTCCGCTCTCACCACTTCCTTCATATTCGGGTTTAACCGCCTTTGATGCTCGACTGTTGGCTTAAAGTCATTCTCCATCAGTATTTTGTGCATACAAAATGACGGACTGATTCCCCGAATATCATTTATCGTCCATCCAATTGCTTCCTTATGTTCTCGCAAGACTCAAAGTAGCTTCTCTACTTCTAGATCAGTTAAGGAATTGGAGATGATCACTGGAAGTGTGGATGATTCTCCTAAATAGGGGTACCTCAAATGAGGTGGAAGTGTTTTCAAATCAAGCGTAGGGGCTTTTTGATAGGATGGAAGAGGTATTGAAGATGTCTTTTCCAACTCCTTATAATATGGTAGCCTCTTGAAGGTGTGGAAAGGTGTAGCTTCCAAGTACTTTGTCATACCTTCAAAATCGGGGTCACCATCACTTATATCAGAAGAACTTACTAGGCATCTCTCAAGAGTGTCGTCAGAACTCCCATAAAGAGAGTCAGCAACCAAATGATCAATCATATCCACCTGAAAACAGTCATCTGGTTCTGACGGGTACTTTATGGATTTCAAGATGTTAAAAGTGACTTGCTCATCTTGTACCCTTAAAATGAGTTTACACTCCTGTACTTCAATCAAGGCTCGACCGATGGCAAGAAATGGTCGTCCCAGAATGATAAGGAATGATTATCTTCTTCCATGTCAAGTATAATGAAATCAGCAGAGAAGATGAACTTATCCACTCTTGCCAAGACATCCTCAACCACACCTCGAGGATATTTAATTGACCGATCGGCCAATTGCAATGATACCGTAGTAGCCTTTGCTTCTCCCATTCCCAACTTTTCAAAAATAGACAAGGGCATTAAGTTAATGCTCGCTCCGAGATCACACAAAGCTTTAGCAAAATTAAGATCCCCAATAGCACATGGAATAGTAAAGCTCCCTGGATCTTTGATTTTAGGAGGCAATTTGTTCTGGAGAATGGCGCTACACTCTTCCATCAACATCACCGTTTCATGCTCTACAAGTTTCCTTTTGTTAGAAAGGATATCTTTCATGAACTTTGTATAACTCGGCATTTGAGCCAGAGCATCTGCAAACGGAATGTTAATGTGTAGCTTTTTAAACACCTCCAAAAACTTACCAAATTGAATATCCAATTTATGCTTCTGGAGCCTTTGAGGAAAAGGAATAGAAGGTACATAGGCTTTGACTGGAATTGGAGTCTTTGATGTTAATGGCTCCTGTTCATCAGTCTTACCTTCTTCAACAACCTCTTTAGGCGCTTGCATCACCTCATTTTCAACGATTGGTTCTTTGTCAGCTCGAGCCTTTCGCTGTACTACCGTGGGTTTAGGCAATTGAATCCCACTCCTGGTAATAATGGCCTTTGCATTCTCTCTGGGATTTGTTTCAGTGTCACTGGGTAGAGCCCCTTGAGGCCTCTCAGAGAGAAGTTTTGCAATCTGGCCCACCTGCCTTTCCAAATTTTTCAACGAGGCATCATTGCGTTCTTGGTATTGCAATTGATGATTTGCTAACTTAGCAATGGCCTCTTCCAAACCTTCTTTCTTCTCTTGTAGTTTAGGATTTAACACATTCTAGTTATTCCCATAAGAGAAGTTAGGGTGATTACGCCATCCAGGGTTATAAGTTTGAGCGTAAGGATTGTATCCAGGGCGTTGAAAATTTTGTGTATATGCCAATTGCTCGGTGGATCCCGAACTACTGGCAATCAACGGACAACTTGAACTCAAATGATTAGCTCCGCACATTTCACAGATCGATGGGGATTGGACCTTATGAGCTGAATGAGAGCCAGATGACGAAGTAGAAAGTCCTTCTACTTTTCATGCTAGAAAGTCAATCTTTGATAACATAAGAGAGTATGCTTCACTCTCTCGAGCTCCACTAACTCCCACTTTAGCATGTCTATCTGGCCACATGGCACTCTGTTCACTCATCACCTCAAATAGCTCATACGCCTCTCGGATAAACTTTTGTTTTGGATAGATCCGTTTGACGATGAGTCAACATTTGAGCGGTAAGAAGGAGTTAACCCGACGTAGAAGTACTGGACTTGTTGTGGTAAAGTAATCCCATTGTTTGGGCACTTTCTTAGCATGTCCTTGAACCTCTCCCAAACCTCGTGAAAGGTTTCAAAGTCAAGTTGTTGGAAAGTGGTTATATCGTGCTTTAACTTGGCCATACGAGCAGGTGGAAAAAATTTAGTAGTGAATTTTTGTACCAACTCCACCCAACTCGTGATACTCCTCGAAGGTAGAGTGTTAATCCACTCTCTTGCCTTATCTTTCAGAGTATGCACGAATAACCTCATTCTTATAACCTCATCATTCACACCTTCATATGTGAAATTGCTAACAATTTCCATGAATCTCGCGATGTGAGCGTGTGGGTTTTCATCTATTCTACCATAGAATGATAAAGAATTGGAGAATAGATTAATGACATCCGGTCGTAGTTGAAATTTAGGATGTCCATATGATGGGTAAATGATACCCGCTTGGTTCTCAACAACAGGGCGGTTCAGAAAATCCCTAAACAACATATCTTCCTCATTGACTACAGGATTTTGAACCCTGCCCGCTTGATTATCAAAACCAGGCGGCACACCATCCCGAGGAGCTTGTTCATGTCGAATAAGAGGGTCCAGATGACCTTCTTGATGCTCCATGTCTCATTGTTGTCTTTTCAACTCGTTTTGTTCTCTAAGCCTCTTTCGGAAAGTCCCTTCGATTTCAGGATCAAATTCTAGAAGATTGAGACTTCGCGAACGATGCATAAACAATGAACGAGTTAGGAATTTGATAAAAACGAAGACAAAGTAACTTTTGGATTTAAAAGGGAGAATTTAAAACAAAAAGTAAAGTTCGTTAAAGTGATTGACAAATTAGTTGGTAATTTGATAAAAACACTCCCCGGCAACGACACCAAAAACTTGATCGGTAATAAATGGCACGCCGCAAGTGCACGGGTCGTGATCAAGTAGTATAATGGACCTTTTAAGTCCCAGTCGATCCCTCAGAGAGTGTTGTTTTCTATTACGAGTGTATTTGTTTCAAATTAACGAAAAAGATATACACATTTAAAAGTTTGATTTTAAAAACTATAAAAAGGCGAAAACTCGATTTCGATTTAAAATATTTAAATAATACTTAAAAAGTGGAAAAGTTTGATTTTAAAAGATGTTGGAATTTATGATTTCGCTTAACCCTTTTCAAGCCAATTATGCGTCGATGCAAATTACCAAAATATGTGGTTAGACCTGATTTTCCAAAATTAGTCAATAACCTCTGTCGAGCAATATCAACCCTAATTGCTTGGCATTAACATATTTCTATGTCGTTCTAAACCAAACAACTGCATTCAATTTTTGTGAAAATAACTCAAGGGGTCACATAGGGTAGGTATACATGTCTGGATACCTAAACGCGTATAGTCGAAACCATACAAACCTATGGTATTAATTATTTCGGTCTATTATGTGCAACTCTTTTTTAATAATTACACAACTACCTAACCACAACATCTATTGACGTCAAATAAATGTAGTAATCTCAAACATGATAATTAATACACCAATATTTTGATAACAAATGCATATGTAACAACATATAACACGATATTAATGAAAATAGGTTAAGCTAATACATAAATTCCAACATAAACTTGTTTAGTTCATCATTCTAACAAAATAACAAAGAAAAAAAGATATTATTAGACACAACATAAATATCCTAAAAATATCTAGCATAAAATAAGGATAAAATAATAAAAATGTTGACAAAAAAATCTCGAAATTGCAGATCAGGTCCTTCAACTTTCATTTAGTGCAATTTGGTCCTCAAATTTTGACTTTTATTACATTTAGGCCCTTCTATAATTGCACTTCAAGTCCTTTTCCTTCTCTTTTCGCTCGTTATACTTCTTTCCGGGGTTTTAGCCTACAAAAGTAACAATTACACAATTATAAATAGAAATCTACTCAATTTTATCAATAATAAAGTCCCAAAAAGTGCTAAATAAGTGTGTAAAAACACACTTATCAGCTGTCAAATATTTATACAAATATGTATAAAAAAGACATGATCGTATTAATTTTAGTGTGAATAAAAAAACTAATGAACATTATATTGATGAGATTTCAAATTACCAAACTGCTAGATGGATATCTGCGCCAGAAGCTATTTGGAGAATGTTTAGTTTTGATTTATTCGGCATATCTTCTTCTGTAATTTCTTTACAGTTACATGTTGAAGATGTTCAATTGGTTAATACAATGAAACTGATAATTTATCAGAAATTATAAATAAAGACTTTATCCAACGAACAATGTTAACTAAAATTTTTAAAATGAACATTTTCGATGAAAAGATACGGACTTTACTTTATAAATATTTTCCCACATACTTTGTATGGAATACATATTTGGTTGTTTGAAGCCCTAGGAAAAAGCAAAATGTTATTGGTAGAATAGTTGTTGCTAATCCATCTTGAGGGTGAAGATATTTTTTAAGAGTTTTACTAAATCATATTAATGGGCCAAAACGTTTTCAAGATTTTAAAACAGTTAATGGCGTTGTAGCACCTACTTATCGTCAAGCTGCATTTTTACATGGTCTAATAAGTGAAAATAATTATTGTGACATGTGTTTAACTGAGGCAATTTCTTATCAAATGTTGGATCACTGCATCGCCTTTTTGCTAATGTGCTAATTTTTGGTGGCCCTACAAATCTTAAAAATTTGTGGATTAAATTTAAAGTTTACATGATAGAAGATTATTTACATACAAATCTAATGAAATATAATGCTGAAATTAAAGCTCTACGGTGCATAAATTCATTCTTAAAAATTGTTGGTAAAAATATAAATGATTTTTGCTTGGCAGATTTTGACATTACTATAAATGATGTTGATTTTTTAGCGAATATGATTTTAGAAGAAAGTGCAAATGTTAATGTTCATTCTAACATGCATTTTACAAAATGTTTAAATAAATAATAACAATTTGCTTATGACAGAATTTTAGATTGTGTTTTAAACGATAAAATGGTGTTTTTTTTATTGACGATCCAAGAGGTATTGGTGAAATTTATTTGTACAAGGCATTGCTTGTTATTGTACAATCTCGACAACTCATTGCATTAGCAATGCATCATGTGGAGTAGCTGCTGCTTTATTGTTGGCTGGAATAACTAGTCATTCATGTTTTAAAACTCCACTTCAAACAAGTCCTGATATGTAATGTTCGGTAAGTAAACAATCTGCACTTGGTCAACTTTTAAAAATGACAAAGTTAATTGTGTGGAATGAAGCACCGATGGTTAATAAATATGCTTTTGAAACTTTGGATAAAATGTTAAAAGATGTTATTGAATATGCATTGCCATTTGGTGGAAAAGTGATTGTTTGTGAAGAATTTTTTCGATAAGTTTTGCCAATGGTACAAAGAGGAATAAAAGATGATATTATGAAAGCAAGTTTAGTCTTTTCATATTTGTAACAGTATTTTACACAACTGCCGTTAACTAAAAATATGAGAGACAGATTGGATCCTTCCTTCTGTGAATATTTACTCAAAATTGAAACGGAATTGAAAGAGAGCATATATGTCGCATGATTAAGCTTCCTTCAGATATCATGATAGATTTTGAAGTTGAATTTAAATCATTGAAAAAATTAATTAGCATTGTATTTTTGAATCTTCGCATTTCCGGTGATAATTTAAATACTATGATGAATATAATTATTTTAACTCCAAAAAATAAATATGTAGATATAATAAATAATATGTTAGTTAATGAAATTCTGGGAGATGCATATACATATTTAAGGTTTGATGAAGTAACTGATAAATCGAAAGGATTTATTCAAGAAACTTTTTTTGAATAGTCTAACTCCAAATGGTATACCTCCACATGAACTTGAGTTTAAAAGAAATTATTCTGTTATGTTGTTTAAAAATATTAATCCTTCAAAAGGTTTGTGTAATGAGACTAGACTTATTTGTCACGAATTTAAACAAAATGTTATTTTAGCTGAAATTGTAACCGGTGCATATAGTGGAAAAAAAGTATTTTTACCTAGAATTTCATTTATTCTACTTGAAGGAGATAAGCATTCGGTGCCCTTTCAAAGAACTCAATTTCTCATTCATCCTTGTTTTGCAATGACTATTAACAAAGTCCAAGGTCAAACATTATATTTTGTTGGACTATATTTTCCTGAACCTGTATTTTTACATGGTCAGCTATATGTTGCATTGTCCAGAGCAAAAATTAGACAGAATATAAAAGTTTTGATTAAGCCAGCAGACGAAAATAAATCACATACTTGTTGCACAAAAATTGTGGTCTATCTAGAAATTTTGAATTTAATACATACTATTTAGCAAGTCTAAAATTGCAAATTGTGCAACAATTAATCTGTCATCTTGTTGTTAGCCCAAAGAAGAGTTCAACAAAATAACAGTGAGCTACATAAGGTTAGTTATTTTCATATGTTATTTTTTGTTATGATTATATTTTGCTTGCTGATATGCTTAATTCTTCTTTTTCGTCATCTTTCTCAATTTAAAAAATTACTGCAAATTATTTATGCTTATTGAAAATAAATATGAATATTAAACCTATAAATTGATGAAGACAAAAACCATGCAAAATTGTCGTATTGTAATATCTAAACATATCCATTGTAATAGCTCATCTTAAATATACCACAATTTCAATTTGTTTGGGGTTTATAGTGGCTTCACCGTCCTTTTTTTCTTATATGAACACCAACAATATGACAAAATACCAAAAGAAAAAAAAAACAAAACAAAGACTTGTTATATAACATTTGAATAAGTGTATTCTTATTATGCATTACAATCAGGATGAGAGTGGGGATGAAGAAAATATTCATTGTAACAAAGATTCACTACCATCTTCCGTCTGTAT